AATGGTGGCCGCCCATTCTCTATGGGAACAAAACTGCATTTTCCTGTTGACATTCCTAGTGGTTTGCTTCACCTGCTAATATTTTACTTTTTCTTCCTAAATAACTACCTACTCTCCCAGTAGCCCTTTAGTAGGGGTATCCAATTTGCCTATTGTATTTTGTTTCCTCCCCAGTAATTTCATTCCACTCACAAGAATATTTTTGATTGCCTATGACTTTCTCAAGACAGGAAAACAAACCCCCAAACCAACAAATATATGTCCCCAGAACTCAGCAGGAGTGAGCAGATAAACATAGGTGAACACGGGCGATCGTGTTTAATTGTGTGGCCAGGTGAGGGTTAAGGGCAGGAATGGAAGGTTGACATAACTCAGAGGGGAAGGAAGGAGTAGCAGCCCTGGGGGGTGAGGAGGTGAGGCTTCAGACAGGCCCTGTAGGATGGGGAGGTGATTGACAAGTGAAACTGACATAACAGGAAGGAGAACTGGCAGTTTGCAGAATGGATTGGAAGGGGCTCCATGAGAGGGATAAGGAGCAGCTGCAGTCATTCCAGTGTGAGGTGATGAGGTCTGGATACATGGGGTACCGGGAATGGAAAGAAAGGGGACTACATCTACAGACACTTCCAAGGGAATCAGCTGGACTTGAGAAACAACTAAATGTTTATTCATTCACTCATTTCATAAATATGAATTGTCGTCTACTATGTGCCTGGCAGTGTTTGTTCTAAGTGCCGAGGCTAGAGTAGTGAATAAGCGGACAAAGTTCTTGTCCTGAAAGAAGTAATTTTCCAATGGGAAGACAATAAAGAAATAAACCAGGAAATATCAGATAAAATAGGTGCTATGCAGAGAAGTAAAAGGGCCACATCAGGTATGCGGATACTTTGGGTAGAATGGTCAAGTGAGGAGATGACCTCCAGGCCAGGACCAGGCAGGGGAATTAACACGTGGGCAGGAATAAGGCTATTGTGTTGGAAGGAAAAAGGGCCAGTGTGTCTGAGTAGAGTGAATGAGGGGGAGAGTGATAGAGATGATGAGAAAAGTAGGCAGAGACAAAATCATAAAAAGGCCTTATGAGCCAAGGGAAATGTTTAAATGTTATTCCAAGTGCACTGGGAAGGTATTGGGAGCAGAGGCACGATGTGATTGGCCTTTGCATTTAGAAGATCACTCTGGGTCCCCTAGAGAAGCAAAGAGTGGAAGCAAGGTGAGCAGGTAGGAAGTGGTACAGTATCCAGGGAAAGGTGAGAACAGAGAGGGAGAGAAGCAGTCAGCTCTGGGACATATTTTAAAGACTGGGTTGATGGATTAGATGTCAAGGGGAGGACAATGAGAGAAGAAGAGAAATTAAGATGTCTCTGAGGTTGGAGGTATGTGTGGATGTTGATGGTCTTAACAGAAATAAAAAAGACTGAAGGAGGAACAGGGTTTCAGGCTAAATCAAGAGTTTAACTGGGGACATATTAAGTCTAAGGTGTGTATTAGCAATTCAAATGGAATTAACTATTAGGTAGTTTTATTCAGGAATCCCAGGCTTAGGGGAGAGGTCAAAACTGGATATTTAAATTTGCATTACCCATATAGAGGATATTTTAAAATAATAGGGGGAAGAAAATATTTAAATTATCTTGGTAAGTTTTCTAATAGCCACAAAGCTATAAGAATAGTATGATATCATTTTTTATGGAAGAATAAACATGTATATATCTCCTTATAGAGATTAAATAGATTGATCCATGTGATAGAGAGGAGACCAGAAGCACATGTGTCAACATGTGATAAGTGTGTGATAATACCTGGGTATTAGGATTATTGATGACTTTTATTTTCTTTTATGTTTGGTGTGTGTGTATATGTATATTTTCCAAATTTTCTTCAAAGAGTGTTTTTGTATTTGGGTAAAGTAAAGTTTATAAAAGAGGTGACACCAAGATTTCCATTCTGAGGAAATTGGATAAAGATAGTGCCAGTGAGAAATTATGAAAAATTAGGAATCTGAGTTAGTTTTAGGAGGATGATTTTGAACTTCTCTGGTAATCTTTAAGAGAATGTGGTCAATTTCACTTTTTTCCATATATTTGCTCTCCCTCCCTGTCAGAGAATTTTACTTTTCACCTTATTGAAGGTGATGTTGTCACTTTGAGGTGAGCTTTCAGGGCTAACCTGGCCTTTGTTATGTCATCTCTTCCTTTCTATGTAACGAACAATGTTCCATACACAGACTGATCTGTCAACCTGTGTCCTGGAGTAAAGACAAGTAGAGCAGAGCCAAGTTGCTCTCTGGAAGTCTTCATTTTTATAAACCACTAAGATTTTTTGGATTATTTGTTATGACAGCAAAACCAAGCCTACCTGGCTAATAGAGATGAGCATAAAATATACAACATTCTTGATGGCAGCTTAAGATGAGAAACTTGGAGATCAAGATGGGAACTATTGATTAGGAGGTCATCAGTAAGGTGGGGAGGGGAATGAAGAATGGAAACATTTTCTACATAGAAAAGCATCGAGGGAAGAAAAGAGGAATGGGCCCAGGGAGTCACTGCCAGTTGGTACAAGAGAAGAGCTACACAGAGAGGAAGAAGAATGTGGCTGAGATGTGGCAGACTAGGGTAGTATTAGAAAATGGAGCTAACAGGACAGTTAAAGAGGTCAGATGTCAAATTATCAGGACAAAGGAAGAGCTGTTGGATTTACCTTGACGGTGGCCAGTGTGAACCCCTGAAACAGCAGTTTTAGTGGCGCTGTGGGGAAGGAAGTCGGGTTTCGTGGGTTATGGAGGGAGTCAATGCAGAGGAAATGGAGGAAGCTGGCAGAGACCACTCCTTTCAAAAGTCTGGGTGAGGCAGAGCAGTGGGGCAGTGGTGACCAGAGGCTCTAATATGGTTTTGACTTTTACACAAACATAACGTGTAATGCGGAACAGAGGATCCTTGACTCTTAGAAAGCATGCTTTTTTCCCCCCATAAAATAAGTCTAACATGTGAATAAGGATACTTAGAATACCTGATAGTGTCTAATATGTAATAAATTTTGCTTGGCACTAGCAATAAGTAAAATAGTCTACTTATATCTTTGTTTCCTGGAAGATTTTGAAACTCACTGACACTGTCCTGTATTGTCTTTAAGCATATGGTAATCTTCTCTTTTTTTAAAATTTTGTAATTTCTTTGTGTGTGTGTGTGTATTTATTTATTTACTTATTTATTTATTTATTTATTTTTTTACTTATTTATTTTTATATTTTATTATTATTTTATTTGTTTTACAATAACATATTTTTTACATTGAAGTATAGTTGATGTACAATATTATATGTTACAGGTATACAATATAGTAATTCACATTTTTTAAAGGTTATACTCCATGTATAGTTATTATAAAATATTGGCTGTATTCCCCATGTTGTACAATACATCCTTGTAGCTTATTTTATACCGTTAGTTTGTACCTCTTAATCCTCCACCTCCATCTTGCCCCTCCCCCTTCCCTCTCCCCACTGGTAACCACCAGTTCCTTCTCTACATCTGTGAGTCTGTTTCTTTATTATTTCCTAACGGAGGTACTGGGGCTTGAACCCAGGACCTCATGCATGCTAAGCACACACTACCACTGAGCTACACCCTCCACCACCATGGTAATCCTTTCTGTTTTGTTTTCTTTACATTTATCTTCATGTGTTTGAAGTACAAAAAAAATTGTAGGAAAGACTATCAATATCAGTTATATTTTGCTGTTTAACAAACCACCTGTTGTGGGTTGAATTGTATCCCTGCAAAAGATTCCTAAACCCTGGTATTTATGAACATCATCTTGTTTTGGAAATAAGGTCTTTGCAGTTGTAATCAAGTAAAGATGAGGTCACACTGGATTAAGTTGGATCCTGATTCTAATCACTGGTGTCCTTCTGAGAAGAGCCACAGAGCCACAGAGATGCACAGAGAGGAGACCAGGTGAAGACAGAGGCAGAGATTGGAGTCATGCCACCATATGCCAAGGAAAACCGAGATCTGCCAGCAACCAACAGAAGCTAGCAGAGGCCAGGAAGGGTTCTTCCCTAGAGGCTTCAGAGGGAGAAGGTCCTGCTGACACCTTGATTTTTGGACCTCTGACCTCCAGAATAGTGTGAGAATAAAACCAGGCTTATGATAATTTGTTCTGGCAGCCCAAGGAAACTGATAGATTACTCCAAAGTTTAGTCATGTAAAACAACAGCTGTTTAGCATTTCTCGTGGGCAGTTCTGCTGGTCTCGCTGTGTTCATTCATTTGGCTGAAATTCCCTATTGTCTGGACTGAAGCCGAGCATCAGGGATGGCCTCAGTCACAAGTCCAGGGCCTTAGGGCTGGCTGTCCCTTTGTACATGGTCCGCTTTAGTAGTCTAGCTCTGTATTCCTTACATGGTAGAAGGAACATTCTAAGAGGACGAAGGTGGAAGCTGCAAAGCTCCTTGAGCTTAGTCTAGAGCTTTTATGCCACATTCCTTTATCAAAGCAAATCACAAGGCAACCCAGCTTCAAAGGATAGGGAAATGGACTCAATCTCTTGATGGAAGGAGTCGCAAAATATTCGACCATTTTAATCTATTACACCCCGAACAAAGAAAGTAATCATATCCCATTTCAAACTTCACATATTTAAGCAGAAGGTCTTGTCATTCTCTGTTCAGATCACAATACCCATTTCACTGGCAGAGAAACTGAGAACAGATTAAATCGACTCATTCAAAGTTACCAATGAGTCATGCTTTATGAAAGACAGCTATGTGTCTGGAAGAGCTAAACACAGTCCTGCCTGGAGGCAGGTGAATACATTTAATAACTTCTTGGGCTTCTCTTAAGTCCCATAAATTGCATTGGTGGAGCCCAGACTGCAGAGCTGTCTGGTAGGGAGATGCAGCAGCAATTTGAGGATATTAGGGAAAGAGGTGCTTGAAAATTGCTGTGCGCCATTCAGAGGGGCAGGATTTGAGGCTAAATTAAATGACTAGGAAAAGGGCCTCAAGAGTTACCAAACGGGCTTAGAAATTCAGTGACTGTTCTGGTCCAGTGTAAGTTCTAGGCTGGGAAGAATTACAGTGGGTAGAAGGAAAGAATGGAGCAGGGAGGCAGAGAGATCAACCTGTCAGGAAGGTATGTGCCATGGCTTGTCTTAGAAGGTTCACCCTTGTGTGAGTTAGGATTGCTTTTAGCTGCTTCAAGGAACAGACAACCTCATAAACAGTGGCTGAAACAAATTAGATATTTATTTTTCTTGAATAAGGAGAATTCCAGTGGTTGGCAGTCTGGGCATTGTGTGATCGCCAAGGTACCATTGGAGACCGGGTTCCTTGTGTCCTTGTGTTCCACCATCCTTAGTGTGTGGCTCTCATCCTTATGGTCAGAAGATGGCTCTTGAAACTCTGCATGTTGAAAGAATATTGAACACAGGGAGAAGGGGAAGGGCAAAAGAGGCATGTCAGCCAACTTTGCTCTCTTTTAAGGAACTTTCCCAGAAACTCACACAATGATGTTTGCTATATGCCTCACTGATCAGATCTGTGTTACAAGAGAGGTTGGAAGGTAGTTTTTATTAGCGCATCACGTTGTCACCTCCAACAAAAAAAGGGCTGAGTTAGAAGGAAGGGTATAAAGGCTACTGATAGGCAGGTAATGGTCCCTGCCATTGCTCCGAGCAATTGCTGTGGGTACAAATTAGTGACAGAACTTCCATTGTGGCAACATGGCACCTTCATCCCATGAATACTTGTAACAGATCCAAGTCCATTTAATTCCAGGACCCTTGCCTAATGAGGAGGGCTATCCAGACTTATAGGTCTATTATTGATCAAAGGAAATTAGCTATTATTACAAATAATCCCAAGATCTTAGTGGATTAATCCAGCAAAATCTAATTTCATATCAGTGTCACAGTCTGATGCAAGTCAGGTGGCTCTCCTCCAAGCAGTGACTCAGGGACTTAGGCTGCTTTCACCTTAAGGCTCTGCCGTCTTGTGACTTTCAGATTTTTTCTGGTATCATTCAGCCATTGGCCAGGAAGAGTGAAAGACTGTGCCTCCAATTCTTAAATACCTCAACTCAGAAGTGGTACACATCACTTCCACTCACATTCCATTGGTGAGGATTACTTGCAAGCCCATTGAAGTTCAAGGAGGGCTGGGGAATAGAGTTCTTGTCTGGAAGCCACTTTCTAGCAACAGATTTTCACTGTGAAAGGGAGCATGAATCTTGAGGGGTCAACTAGCCATTTCTGCCACAGGGTCCCAATCACAAAGAAGGAGCCAGTAACAAAATGGCAATAAAATATGTGTAGGCCTGGTCTGCTGTGCCATTTATGGATAGATAAAAACCAGGTGGTCTAAGTCACAGCAGTATGAGTGTGGAGGCTATAAGGGAAGCAAACACAAAAAGCATATGCTGAAACACCTGAGATTCTAGGAGGAGACAATAAGAGTACAAGGCATAATTATCCTGTAAGGCAGGTGGCTGGTCATAGGAAAAAACAATGTAAAATCGAATTGCACTTAAGGACACCAGAAGTGCCATGTGCAACTGGATACTTTCTAGAAACTCCACAGATTGACAAGGAGCCAAGTTGCTCAGCCTTTTTTTTTACCCCGAGAATAGTTTTTAAATATTTTAGGAAAAAAACACAAGATTAAGATGTTTTTAAAGCTTTTGAATGATTAACTTAGAATTAACATTTTATTTGACAGGAAACGAGATGTTTCTGATGTAAGAGAAAGAAGCATTCTAAAAGGTTCACTCCCACTTGATGAGTAACAATGTCATAGTCCAACCTCCCCTCTGAGACAGGAGACTGTTTTTATTTTTTTTTAATTGAAGTATAGTTGATTTACAATGTTGTGTTAGTTTCTAGTGTACAGCATAGTGATTCAGTTATACATGTATATTCCTTTTCATATTCTTTTGCATTATAAGATATTACAAGGTATTGAATATAGTTCCCTGTGCTATACAGTAGGACCTTACTGTTTGTCTATTTTATGCATAGTAGTGTGTATCTGCAAATTCCAAACTCCTAATTTATCCCTCCCTCACCCCTGTCAACTTTAATGAGAAGCTGAGTCACTTTTCATGACTGGTTCACTTTGGATCTGTTGAATCCTCTTGTTTATTTGCCTTTTAATCATTTTAATAATCTGTGAAATCAATCTTCCTTATTCATGCTGACAGTTATAGTAATAATAATAATAAGTCACAAGGCTCTTACTGCAATGAGAAAACAGGTTAAACCTTCAAGTTGGAATTTGGGGAGGCAAGCACGTCAGATTCCTTTCCCAACTCTACTGATTCCCAACAGGAGCATCTTTCAAAAGTTCTTTAACTTCTCCAAATCTTAGTTCTCTCTTTCGAAAACAGAAATATTAAGAATACCAACATCACCCAGTCAAATGAAATAATATCTAGGAAAATGCTACCTGAATCAAAGAGCACTCCATGCATATTAATGAAACATCAGTAAAATAGGAACAGGCGCCATGTTTCTGTGATTCATGGAATGAATAACGTTGGTCATAGATCTAGCACAGGGGAGTCTCACACTTGGTCACAGAGGGTCTCAGAAAAGAAAACTAAAAGTAAATATGGACAAAGTAAACTATACTGGAAATGAGAAATGCAGAAGTATTAAAAACAGTCACAACAACATAAAGTAAAGTTTCAACTCCGTTTACAAAACCTGTCCCCCTAAAACACACATGCATATGCACTTTTCTCCAAAAAGTAACTTTTATGGAGAATCTTAGCAGTTATGAAAGACAATAGAGGGAATTTGGTAGAGCCACTTAGGTAATGCATGTCATGTGATCACCAGGAATGTTTATATAAGATATAAAAGAAAATGTTGAAACAGTAGAATCTTTGAGGACAAATGATTCATCCTGAATAACAGTAACAATAGTTAGAGACTGGAGACCTAAGATGTTTTCTATCCTTTCATAAAGTGAAAAATGGCTTTTTATTACAAAAGCTATATATGTGACTTATAGAAGCAGCAGAAGTGCACATAAACAAAAAAATTTTAGTGAAAATATTTCTAATTTTTTAAGCTAATTACTTTTAATAGCTTGATATATATAGTTTTCAGATGTATGCACCTACATGCATGTCTCCTACAAAGTTGGAAACATGCTTACATGCTGTTTTGTAACCTGCTTTTTTATTTAAAAATATATAATGGAGAACTTTTCATGTCACTAAATATTCTTTCATTACACTTCTAAATGAGTGTATAACATTCCACTGTGAGAACAGACTATAATTTAACTAACTCTCTTCTGAGCTACATTTATTTCCAATTATTTACTAGAAACAGCACTTCACTGAATAAATTTATGCATGCAAATTTACTTACATCTTTAATGATTCCTCAGGATAAATGCTAGAAATTGGATCACAGACTCAAATGTATGTATTGAAAATATATATTTTATAATATATTTATATTGTTTATTATCATTTATTTATAATATATATGCTATATATGTGTGTGTGTGTGTGTGTGTGTGTGTGTATTTCTGCCTAGTTGTCCTGACAGGTTTTATGTGACATCTGTCCCTAAAATGAAGTTTAACAATATTTGAAAAACATGACATCCCTGAACTTTGCCTTAATTCTTGGGGAAAGTTACTGAAAGATGGTTTGTGTTCAGATAAGTATAAACTGGTAAGGCCAGTTTTTTATAGGTGACATTAAAAAATCAACCCCAAAAGACTGAATTGAAACCATTATTCTGATTGAGTCAGTGAACCTGAAGGTAAATTTGATTTGGACAAATACTGTTAATTCATTAGGTTTCCTTGTGGCCTCAGTCTTTAAAATAAATGCTCTTCTGGATAATCTTGGTCCTACTTGAGGCTATCCTCATAGGAATTACCAGCATGTCCAGCTGTACCCAGGAATCTATAAACTATCCCTTTTAGGCAGTTAAATGTATATTTTCCTGAAGAGAGTAAAGTTATATAGACGTGTAAGATCACCTAGAAAAAATTGTTAATTTATTATGCATAGATTCTTTCTTAATGCCAGAGTTATGTACTATTTGTTTATCTGATATTTAATTTTCTGTTATGTCTCCTTATTAATTCATTACTAACTCATTCTATAATTCATCCATCCATTTATGTGACATATTTTTCTTGAGCACTTACTGTGTGCCAGGCACTGCTTTAGACTTTGGGGCTATAGAAATATCCTGCCCTCAAAGAACTTAGGTTCTAATGGTGAAAAAAGATAATCAATAAATGCTCAGATAATATATAACACAATGTGAGGTGGTGTTAACTGTTGTTAAGAAAATGACACAAGGTGGGGGCTCATGAAGACACTAAGTCATCTTGGATTGGGTTGTTTTTTTTTGTTGTTGTTATTAAGTTGTATGAGCTGTTTATATATTCTGGAAATTAAGCCCTTGTCAGTTGCATCATTTGCAAATAGTTTCTTCCATTGCATAGGTTGTCTTTTTGTTTTGCTTATGGTTTCCTTTGCTGCATGAAAGCTTGTTAAGTTTGATTAGGTCCCATTTGTTTGTTTCTGCTTTTATTTCTATTGCCTGGGTAGACTGTCCTAGGAGAACTTTGCTAAGATTTATGTCAAAGAATGTTTTGCTTATGTTTTCTTCTAGGAAGTTCATAGTGTCTTGTGTTATGTTTAAGTCTTTAAGCCATTTTGAGTTTATTTTTGTGTGTGGTATAAGACTGTGTTCTAGCTTCACTGATTTACATACAGTTGTCCAGTTTTCCCAACACCATTTGCCGAAGAGACTGTCTTTACTTCATTTATATTCTTGCCTCCTTTTTCAAAGATTAACTGACCATGAGACTGTGGGTTTATTTCTGGGCTCTCTAGTCTGTTCCATTGATCCATATGTCTGACCTGAAATATACCACTGGTTTCTCAGTTTTGATTACTGTCACTCTATAATATTGTCTGAAGTCTGGGAGGGTTATTCCTCCAGCTTTGTTTTTTTCTTCAGTATTTCTTTGGCAATTCTGGGTCTTTTGTTAAGTCATTTTGAAACAACCATGAATATTTGAGTCACACCAGGCTTGCCATTTTACCACTTCCTAACTGGCTTTGAGCAAGTTACTTAGCTTCTCTGGGCCTTGATTTCTTTATCTGTTAAATAAAAAGATAATGTACTATTCCATAGTGTTGTTATGATAATTAAATGAGACTGTATAGAAATTACTTACTACATAGGTGTTTGATAGGTGTTCTTTCTTTCCTCTTCTCTTTTGAAAAGTGATTTGGTATAAATAATTGAATTCTCACTTGCAATTAAGAAATAAATATATTCTTTATTCCATATTAAAGAAAGGGGTGGGTACATTAAAAAATTGTTTTGTTTTCTGTGAAAAATTAAATAGCAACTGCTCTCCACAGAGAAGGGCAGCCTGAGTCTTCACATCACGTAGTCCTAGTGATTCAGGTTTTCTTTTGTCTGAACTCAGCTGTCTTGGGTTGCTACACACATCCAGCAGGGCCTTAGAAGAATCATACGTTTCATCTCTCTGGGCCTCAGTTTCTTCAAGATAGAGTTAGATGATTTCTAAAATCCCTTTCAGAGGTAGCATTACCTTGTGTGTCCTTTTATAAATTCTTCTGCACTCGAGCCACTCAAAAGGATGACTGCCAGGTCCCAGACTGTCCTTGAGAAGAAACTTGGGATCCAAGCCTATAAAAAATGATAGCAACTCAATGATGACTTTTTTTTTCTAAATTCTGTTTTAGTGAGAAGAAGTAGAAAGATCAACAGTTTAATTTGTCTTCATTGACAGGGAAGATGGTCAATGAGAAACTGAGAAACCAGTGGTATATTTTGGGTCAGAAGGAAAGAGATAGACACAGTGTGATCACTGACCATTATTTTTAAAAAATTAATTCTTGCATTTTTTTCTAGCACATACCACATCCTTCACATGTGTTACCTTGTATAATTCTCATAACAGCCTGAAAGATTAAAGGGTGTTCTTATCTCAAAGATGTGGATTTGGAAATAGGCTGGGTGAGGTTGTTCAGTTTACCCAGGGATGTGAGTGATTAAGCTGTGGTGGAAACGCAGGTCTAGCTGAAACCAAATCCATTTTCTTAACCACTTCTTGTTACTGCCAACCATTACTGCCAGCAAGCCAACTTGCTTACTAAAATAAGTTTTCATCATGGCCTTGCCATGGAATTTGCAAGATTGTTTTCTCCATATGCTGTAATATGTTTAGTTTTGCCTCAGACGGGTTAGGGGATTAATTTCCAAGAGAGGTGGACTGTGTCCACTCTAAATACAACTCGAGGTAGCCTTACAGCATCTGACAATCCTGTGGTGGTGTCTCTTCATCACAGCTTGAATATGATTTTATGGATTTTTTTTCATCTTTCCATTAGAGTGAGCCAAAGCAGACTTGATTTTTTTCTGAAATTAGCTATCTTACAAAGATGCATTTTCAAACTGAAAATTCTTTTTCTTTTGCCTCCACCACATTATCAAAACTAGAAACAATCCGCGAATTGCACTGCCCACCTTAAGGGGCTGAATCAGTGAAATAATGGATGAGACTTGATTTTCAGATGGAGGAGAGAATGTCTGGATATGGGAGGAGACCTCTCAGTGTCTTGGTGTAATACATTTCCACTCACATCTGGCTCCTTCAAACCAGTGCCCATTCCCCTCCCTGAGTGCTGCTGCTGTTTTGAACAGCACTGTACACTCACGGATAGAGAGTCCACTGTTGCATTCATTTTCTGGGAAGACATCACAAAGTGGAGAAAGAGACGCTATGCTGCTGATCAGACTTGGGTTCTAGTCTCTACTACCAGTGAAATTTGAGTTTCAGATACAAGAAGAAAGATCTGATTGATCCCCTGACGGTTCAATATTCACTGGTTGACACATGCTTTGTTTAATGTCAAGCTTCCCAGGGTGCCCCAATTTGGACAACTGCTGTGTTCCCAGCTGCAGAGCTATGTTTTCCCTTCTTCCCTACCCTTCTACACCCTTCCCCCTGAGGCCTCAAGTGGCTCCAGATGAAATGGGGTGTGTGCAGGTTAGAAGCAGACGGATATGGAGTTATTTCATATATCTCATTGCCCAAATCTAGGTGACTCTGACACCAAATGTGTTTTCCATCCTACCCCCTGAAAAAGAATGTCAGTGAAAGGGACCCCTTGGTCCACAGTCCCCCTTTCTTTCCATAAGTCCATCATCCATCCTCAAAGACAATCTGTGGTACATACTACTACAAAATTTTGTTAACTTGGTCTTTAATATTAGCTTTCAGTATTTTTTTACCACCATCCATAGAAGGAAACACACTGTACATTACAATCCTCCCATTTCATACACACAGAAATCTCTTTTCTCATCCTTCATAGAATGTATCACATTTGTGTGATTGTGTATTTAATGCCCCCACCGCTGCCCCACCAGCTCCTAGTCGATGGGAGGCTTCAAGAGGATAGGTTTTCTCACCTTCCAATTTGTAGAGCTTAGCACAACACCAAGCATATAGTAGATGTTTAATAAATATTCATTAAAGAATCAATAAGCTAATTAATGTGGCCAGCCTTCCCCAGGTCTTCAGGGTTCTGCCCTAGAATTTTATCACTCTTCTCAAGTCTAATGGTTGCTCCCAGCTGTGAAGGTTGGAAGCTCAAAATTATTTGAGGTACTTCCCACCGTAGCCCGAGAAGGCCCCACTGGTGTTTTCCTCCTTGTCCATCTGTGGTCGATCATGACAGATTGGCCAATGGATTTTGAAGACAGCCGGCTGCTGCCTCTCCAAGTTCTTGAGGGCAGGTGTCTCCTCCAAAGGAGCTGATGGAAGGGCTCTCCAGGGGCAGGGCAGACCCCTGGAAGTCACAGGACACCTGGGTGTTCCTACTGCTGGTCATATGTTTTGCCCATATCAGGCAAGTTTGTCATTCTAGGCCATCCACCTTCTGCGGCTGCTTTGCTGGTTCCCGATTTCAGGTCCCAGGCTCCTAAAGCCTCACTCAGCCTACTGCGTACAGGTCAGTAGGCCATCTTCAGCTAATAGCATGGGTAATTCAGCCTTCCAGGATATTTGCTGTTTTTTAATAGGTGGCTTTCAAAGAATTAATAATACATCTCTAAATGAAATCATTAGGCATCTTGAAAAAAGGTATAGAAGTGAAGAGTTCTTTCCACAGAACCCCGGTGAGGTTCCTCCTCCCTACCGTGGGCTGGCTCCATTTGTGGTACTGTTGTGTCGAAAGGAAGACACTGATACCTTGAAGTACCTACTCTGTGCAAAGTGTCAGGCATTTTCCCAAATGTCTCTTATCCTCACACAGTTCCATGTCATTGGTAGAGTAGAAATGCCATCTAAGATCCGTTGGATAGCACCAAGATGTAGATGCTAAAACTTTAAACTCACTAGACCAAGTGATATGGAACTTTGAAGTAATTTTTAGACAATTTAGGCAAGCAAAAAAAAAAACAACTAAAAAGTGCACCCCAAAACTGTTGTGTGTGTGTGTGTTTTACCTGTTTTTTAATCGGACAGAGGCAGAAGAGACATAGGAAATGGACTGTAGGAATAGTTAAGGGAATACTTCCTATGGTGGACGGAAGGACAAATACATATTTGAAACCTTTAGAATATACCTATAAAATGATTTCATTTTTCTATGTGATCTTCCTATTGAATCCAGATTGTGGGCATATAATTTAGAGGTAACTTACCAGATTTAAAATAAGACATTCAACAAGTCCAAGAGAGTTAGATAAATTAGATGGTGACACTGTAGAAAAAATGAGATTTACCAGCATTTCTTGTCTTTGAGTATTCAATTCAGAATTTCTTAATTAGCATTGAAAATTATGTGTGAATATTGAGTATTTCAAAAGTTTTAAATGACCGGCTAATGTTATTACCAAATGCAGAGTCACTCTCTGAAGAAGCAGAACTGACTCCGGAAAATGGGGACTTTCCAGAAATAACCTTATGGATGGGCATTTGTGGCCTGATACTGCTACTTCATTCTAGAGGACGGAGTGAGGTGAGGGCAAAACTGAATGCAGACTCAGGGAAGGAGGACTACCTCCACTATAAGTAGCAGTGAGGTCATACCCTGTCAAGTTGGACACCGTGCTCCATCTTCTCATTTCTCTCTTTGTACCTGGTTGTGTTTGTAACTGTTGTTGCTGTAAACACTTCCCCTAGCGGGGACTTCACAGGATGAGGTGAACGTGAAGGTGAAGGCAAAGGACTGCTGGGAAGTTGCCTTCGATCTTGGGTCAGTGCCAGGAAATGCAAGCTTTCATGTCCAGATGTAGCCCTATGGCATGACTTTTGGGGATAGAACTGCCTTCACCAGAGTATTCACATCTCAAATTTGCCACACTGAGTTTTAGTCTCTACCAATAGCCTCTTTAAAGCAATACAGAGGCAAGTCACCATCCAAGGCTTAGCCTGCCTCTGACTGCTGACAAATTCTTCATGAAAGTAAATGAAAAAAGAACAGTCAGTGATGTTTTATATACTGCCAGCACCAATGTGACAGCCTCAATAAATTTCCCTTCAGAAACTTAATGTATAATATCAAACCTTTCTCCTCTGTTCCTGGTTAGTTAGAGTGTATCACATTTCAAAAGATATACTATGACTTTTGGTTATAGCATCGAAATAATTCATAACACCCTGAAAGCTCTATAAAGTTGCCATTGGCCAAAGGCCCTCTCCCTTATTTTACAGCATGGGCTTCGTAAGGAGGAGCCATGTCTTGTGACATCTGAACTTCTTGATTTTATTCCACAGGCTAAGGATCTTTTAAGTTGTCATTATGTCCTGACACAAACATCAACCAAATCTTTAGGAGCATGTGTGGTTCAAGATGAGAGGGCAAGAGAAGGCTGGGTTGTTTATTGTTAAACTGGCAGGAAATAGCTAAGGCTCATGTGCTCCTGCTTTCAGTTGGGCAAAAGAGGATAAATTAATTGCTTTATAGAAATTCCTTTCTGCATTCTTTAGGGAAAAATTTTCCATGTGGGCCAAATGATCAAACTGGGCAATTTTGAGCTCAGCAACTTTGACACTGTCCCTTGAAGGAATGAAACAAACAACAGATTTCCTTTGAAAGATGACCATTTATAATAATCTGTCTGCTCTGCAGAAAATACAGTAGACTGATCATGACAGGACCGTCTAATACCACATGATACCGGGGTTTTCGCTGCTGGGATTCTCTTTTTTTTTCCCTTCAATTTAATGCTTCCCCATGTTTTGGGAATAAGATTTACTTACGTGGAGCAGCTGCTGATCCTTTTCCTCTCAATCCCAAATTTATTCAAGTACTACACTGAGAATTAACAACATCTAAGGGACCTAAAGGAGAGGAAAACAAATAAAAAAAAAAAACTAAGGACAATTGGTTAGGAAGGTTGATCATATGTGTATAATCCCAGGGAGGAGCTTCTTTTTTTTTTAACATTTTTTATTGATTTATAATCATTTTACAATGCTGTGTCAAATTCCAGTGTT